AGAATACTGAGGTAGGGTTGTAATATTGGTTATCATGCGGGACATCCACAGCAGACATTTTAGTCACATTAGGATTCCGGTCTTTGAAGCAGCCTCTTTAACGTCCGGTCCCGTTTAATTTCTGTAAAATATTTGCTACTTAAGTGATATGCATTTTTCTCCGTTGATTTTCAATGCTCTTATGACTTCAATTATATCTTATCGGAAATATGCGCAAGTTATTAATTTCATCTTTAACGTTATACAACCTCGTCCGCACTCAGTTCCCTCAAAAGGACAGAAGAACAGGCACGACCCTCAATGCAGGTGGCTTCGCGGCAAATTCCCGGGAAATTAGGGTTTAGGTTTGAGATCAGAACTAGGATCGGTGCCAAATATAGCTGCATGAGTGCTATTGTTGTATAGGCGCTTGTCGATCAGTCACGGAACTTTCTCGCCCCATTCTGCCTTGGGATTTACTCTTGAATCCTCCCCCTCCCCCAGTGGCCACTTAGCAGCTAGCCATATAAACATGAGAGTATTAACTAAAGTCAGATGGTGGCATTCTCACAGGGAGACTGGAAAGGCCATTTTAGGCTTATTTGCCATCATCAGCCAGCCATGTCCAACCCGAATGGTGTACCTTCCGAGGCGCGAACTCGCGACCTTTTCGATCAGAAGTCTAACGCTCTAAATATTCAGCAACGAGCTCGCTGTCCTGATAGTTTAGATCAGGAAGTATTAACGCCCTTTGATGAGCGTCCACCAATCGCTTTCCGAGCTAACCCATCCCGCTCTGTTTTGACTCTAATTTCTCGGGACCTGATAGCGGTCGCACAGCGACTAGTAGTCTAGGCAAAAGGACATTAGCGGAAAGACAAGGGAGACTGGAATGGTCATTTCTAGCTTGCTAACTATCGTCAGCCAGTCACCAATTAGTGCGCCACCTCAGGCTCGAACTCGGGAGCTTTTTGATCACAGTTTAACGCTCTAATTATTGAGCCACCAGCTCGTTGTCTTGCCGCCCGACAAATTAGACCCAAGACAGAGCGGGGCGAGTGAATTCCGTTAGTTATCGGCGAACTTTCATCAAAGAGTGTCAACCTACTCTTCGTCATCCTTTCCTTCGCGAACACGTCATATACATATCTTCTGTAGAGTGTTGTATTATTCAATTTTGTGGATACTTTTTCTTCTAGATGGCCCATAAATATGTCAGCAAAAGTCGGTCTTAGGGGACTTCCCATTGCGACTCCATCAATGTGTCATTAAATAGAAATTGCACATCTTTTGTACACAATTGCAATAAGTCCCGTAATATTTCGGGGGACAGGCGAGTTTCGGAAAAATATGAACAGACGATGTCTATATTTTCATCCAAAGGCACATTGGTAAATGATGACTCAACGTCCAGGAATATCATGCATTTGTCTGAAATACTTTGATTCCTAATTTCGACGATAAAGTGAAAAATGTCTTTGAATGTTTAGGTAGAAAATCTATTGCGGACTGTCTCTAATCCCTTTAGGAGCCATTGCGCTAATCTGTGAAGGGATAAATTGTACATGGACAGAATAGGTCTTAAGTGGTATCCTTTTTCTGAGTTTTAGGTAATCCATATAGGCGTGGAATATAAGAACGTCTAGGTTTTAAGGACAACGCTGTTCTAGTATCCACCCGTTTCTTTAACCACCAGATTATTATCCCACAGACGCTTGATAGTTTTCCAGGCGGAATCTTGCAATGCCTTAGTTTCTTCTTTGCCTTGCGCTTCTAGACGAAATTTACTCAAATCATGTAAAATGATGGAACAATCATTTCCGAAAAAGTTCGTCCTCATATCCTTGCTTTTTAAGGGTGACAACATTTTAAATCCCACCACGAGACACTTACTCAACGCTGTTGAACTCATATTTTGCAATCCAGCCAAAACCTTACCAATTCCTTGTGCGAAGGATGCTCTGCCGTTGCATGCAACTTCAAACTTTGTCTACGGATTTACATGCACTTGCGGATGTAAGTACGCAGGGCGAACTTAAGGGCAATTGGCCGCCAGAGCCAAGGAGCATTTGCATAGCTGGTTATTGAAACAAGAAAACAGAACTCCCCGTCTATCGATTACTGAACATCTGCTGGATACGGGCCATTCTATGCATCACAAAACTTCTTTCCGAGTACTTGTTCAAGCATAAACAGCTCGTACATTACGCTACCTGGAGACAGCCTACATACGGCGGTTTAAACTCGACCCATGTAAACAGATGAGCATGTGGTGAACCTAACTCTGCTGTGGTAACACGGGTTCCCTGTTTACACAAATCTACTCTTTGTCATTCTTTCCGTATGCTCTACAGTCATTGATGACAGTCGTACCTGCCTCGCGGACGTGAACTCTCGTCGGGTATCCTAAATATCAGCCCGGATGAGGCCTAGGACCCGCGTAAGCTTGTAATTTTTAATTCTTATATTTTAGCCTGGTTCACCTAACCGCAGCATTCAATTTTCTTTATAAACTACACATAATCCTAATCTACCTTACCTTAAAATCTAGCTTGCTGTAACTTCATTACCCAGTCTAGACACAAACGTACCTCTTTGTTTACGCAGTCCAGTCTCTTAGTTAGATTTGCTTAGCAAACAACACCTTGTTATGCCCAAAAGGCATGGTAGATCTTCAGCTATTATCAAATACACGTTTCTCTAAACGTTTAGCTTACTAAAATTCCCATCTAGGCTAAAAAATTCTTCATGCACGTACAGGCCGCGCTACAGTTTGCCACTTACTGATTATAGCAAGTATGATTACTATAACTAGCACTTTTGGCATAGGCACAGCACTTCTAACGGAAGTGCATTATAGAACTTCCAATCTCATTACATATACCTTTGTTGAACTTGGGTAGGACTTGTGCATCACTTTAAAGACGCTCAATTATTATCCAAATGCTAATCACTATTACCTTACATAGATTTGGAGTGCATAATGGGTGCAACTCCTTAAACGCACACGCAGGCAGTACATATAGTATACTATCTACTGGCCTTAATAAACATGATAACTAGAAATTAGCCATTTTCTATAGGCACGTTCCTATAGCAGCAGTATCTTAGTCCGTACCTAGCAGAAACGTACACAGCTAGATGGATCGAGCTGAGAGTGCGGAAACCAAGGTAAACGCTGCCGTGATCAGGACCCCAAGCATGTACTTACCCGATATAGTTAAATCCAGAGTCACACTGCTTGTTGAGACCAAGGGGATATGAGCCCTAGCGTTCGCTTAATCAGCGTCACTTCTGGCAAATGGTGGCGTCACTGCCAGCACCAGTACTACCAGACTTCTTTCAGAGATTGAGGGGATATGAACTCAGTGCTGACTTTAATCAGCATCACTTCTGACTTAACAACAGTCAATAATATTACCAGCAAGTACAATCACTAAGCTACACCCTAGTAAGCAGTATTAGAAGTTGCAGTATTGGTAGTAGCAGTACCAGTCTTAGTTTACTAAAGTCTGGCTGGACACCTACTAAGGGTGAGCTTAGGGTAGATAGTACAGTAGTTCCAGCGCAAAAGGCTACTGTCACTTAAGAATAAATTAGGCGGTGTTTTGGCATGCATGTGGAAAGCAGCCTACGCGGGAACCTGTTTAGTCTTCGAGACTCCAGGTGAAGTTGAGAGTGCGGAGCCGCTAACTACGTCCTCCATCACTTTAAAGTTAACAGCTGAGACTGTCAC